TCAGGAACTCCTCGTCACGTCCAGGATCTCATCTGGGACTCCGAACAACCTTCGGTAACCGCATACTATTTCCCATAACAACTCTAGCATCACCGAACCGTAAGTGTGTAGACCCTACGGGTTTGGGAACCATGCAGACATGACCGAGACATCTCTCCGGCCAATAACCAATAGCGGGATCTGGATACCCATATTGGCTCCCACATGTTCCACGATGATCTCATCGGATGAACCACGATGTCGTGGATTCAATCAATCCCGTATACAATTCCCTTTGTGTATCGGTATGTTACTTGCCCGAGATTCGATCGTCGGTATCCCTATACCTCGTCCAATCTCGTTACCGGCAAGTCTCTTTACTCGTTCCAGAACGCATGATCCTGTGGCTAACTCCTTAGTCACATTGAGCTCATCATGATGATGCATTACCGAGTGGGCCCAAAGATACCTCTCCGTCATACGGAGTGACAAATCCTAGTCCCGATTCGTGCCAACCCAACAGACACTTTTAGAGATACCTGTAGTGCACCTTTATAGCCACGCAGTTACGTTGTGATGTTTGGTACACCCAAAGCATTCCTACGGTATCCGGGAGTTACACAATCTCATGGTCTAAGGCAATGATATTTGACATTAGAAAAGCTTTAGCAAACGAACTACACGATCTTGTGCTAAGATTGGGTCTTGTCCATCACATCATTCTTCTAATGATGTGATCCCGTTATCAATGACATCCAATGTCCATGGTTAGGAAACCATGACCATCTATTAATCAATGAGCTAGCCAACTAGAGGCTTACTAGGGACATATTACGATCTATGTATTCACACATGTATTACGGTTTCCGGTTAATACAATTATAGCATGAACAATAGACAATTACCATGAACAAGGAAATATAATAATAACCATTTTATTATTGCCTCTAGGGCATATTTCCAACATGCTTTGTATCTAGTAATGTGGAATTGTGTCTAGAAACATATAGGATAACTTAAAATAATAAATTGGTCTATGCTTGGCAAAAACTTTGTAGCTCAACTCTACAAAATAACATCGACTAGGCACCATCAAATTCGCACAAGGCTAACCCAACCCATCAAAAAAATTCATCGTGTTTAGACTTCGTTTGATATGAATTTTCTGTAAAATAAAAACAAGCAGAAAATAGCAACTGATACTTAGCACTAGGTTAATAGGTTAGTTTTCAAAAATGTTATAGAATTACATATAAAGTATATAAGATTGATAATATAATAGCATGAAACAATCAAAATTATAGATACGTTGGAGCCGTATCACACACCTCCCCGAGGAGGCCGCTCCAACGAACGAGGAATTCGTCTGTCAGATGGAGCTCATGACAACATGATATCTCCAGGAGTGTGGTTTGGCGCCATCCTCGCGTCTCCTCTCCGACGCGTGAAGGAGGAGCCGATGCCCCCTCCCTCACACAACTGTGGCGGCATCCACATCAGATTTTGCGTCAAGGGGAAGCCGGCATCGTCGGCGCGCAACCATGATGTCCAAATTGGGCGCCACTTGAAGGAGGAACCGGCCTTGCCGCGCACAGCCTCTACGTCCGGTTGAAAGGCCTCATCGCAACCAGCGCGCCTAGTTCGTCAAGGACGAATTTCCGCCGATGATCACCAGGGTCACGTCCCCATCCCGCACTACCTCGATGGCGATGGCCCTCGGGTCGCTGGCCATCGTGTCTTAGGAGAAAAGGGCGGCGAGGCAACATGTGAGCTACGAGCGGCGCAACACTGTTCGCCGCTCCGCGTTCACCAAGTCAGACAAGGCGTCAGCATGGGTCCTCACCGACCCCAAGATGGCTACCCGCCTGGGCTCTCGATCGTTCCTTCACTCCCAAGGAGATGCCCGCGAGGACCCGCCGCCGACTTGTGGCGAGCCTGCCAAGATCGGCGAGGAGTGATTGCTTAGCGGTTCCTCCGCCAATGTTGGCACGGGGAAGACAGCCGCCAGGGCTCCACGTGCGCCGTCGACATTGGCGACAGTAGCCCTCCAGACCACGCAGGAGGAAGCGGGGCGGTGTCGTGGGAACGATTCCGACAATAATATGGTATAGGATAACAGAGCATGATCTATCGAGATGCAAATGGGTGACACGGTGGTTTTAGCAAGTTCGGGCCTCTCACGGTGGAGATAACAGCCCTACGTCTCGTGCTCCGGAGAGGCTTTATTTTATCTGAGTATGTATCCGGAGATTACATGGTGTATTTGAGAGAGAAAGAGAGTGGAGAATGGATCTCCATGCCTCAAGCTAAATGGTGAGAAAGAGGGAGAGGTGGAAGAAAAAAGCCCCCTGGTCTAGTGGTGGTGGGGGGGTGGCTTATATAGAGTGTGCCACCCCCTCACCTCCTATGTTACAAAATGGGGCGTTAATGTCATAACTCAGCCTACTACTAAGATGATGCTTCGCGTGCCTTGTCGACTGCTGGTCTTCGCATATTCGAGTGAGATCAGGTGTTCCGAGTGGAATGAGTTGGTCGAGTGGAGTGCTATGCTTCGAGTGGTTGTTGTCGTCCGAGTGACTTGATGGTCATCCGAGTGGATAGTATGTCTGTATGAAATTTATCTGGACCCACATGCTGTGTGCACCCCATGCTTTATGATATTTTGACCCTTCGTGGGTCTACCTGTTATGTGTATCCCCAGCAGGTGGTTCCTCCAAAAGCGACAGGCTGCCGCAGCGGACCGACGCCCTACCGCCGCTGGAGGGACAATAACGACGGCACAGACGGCGACGGCAGTGCGGCCAGGCAGAGCGGCCACGCGTACGCGATGGTCATCCGGTACAAGCTTTAGTTTTTAGTTATACGCCAAAATATCGGTCGCTCTATGTAAATTATGTCCGAACATGAAACCCAACGCGAATTTGTCTCGTTTGAAATCTGGTTCCAATTGCATGAGGATATGTATGAGGATATGTTTGGATGGCCGACTCCCGCATCCGTGTCCGTTGACTAGTCCCATTCCACAGACGGACGCGTAAGCCCAGCCATAAGCCAAATTTTGAAAAATGTACCAACCAATGCCACAGGGCAAAAGGATGAAGAAAACTAATTTTGAGCGCCCACGCCCAAGCCCTATCTTCATGCAGTATGAACGGGCCAGGAGAGGAACGAATCTGCCACACCTCAACTTACTGGAAAGTCGATCAACTTTTGCGCCGATGGAGCCGTGCGGGTGCGTGTCCCATGCTCGGGGGGCGCGTGGCGAAGTCACTGGCGATGGCACGGCGCCGTACGAAAAGCTTCACGTTGCTCGCACGCGCCCACGGCCACGGGCGACCGCCGAGGTGGTGGCTCCGCCCATCGCTGTCCCGGATTCGGATTATTTTATCGCGCGTGCACGGCGCCAACAGCTGTGTGGATCGACGATTTAGTCGCTACGCTAGCCCGGTCGTGGATCGCTATGCTTTTTGGCCGTTCCGTTTCGTCGTGCGATCGCTCTCCCAGATACATACAGGTGCCGTCAGTCAGACTGATCCACACCGTTAAGACTGTGCAGCTCCAGCAGAGGTACCAGTGGTGAAGTACACTAGTTACAGACTGACAAGCGCAGTAGTTACTGACTGGCCTGGCCAGAGCCCAGGCAGAGGACGTCAAAGCTGCTGTTGGTGTCGCTGCAGAACAGAAGCAGAGTCCAACATTACCGTCAGTTACTCAGATTAAGAACACACTAAGCTTTCGAGAAAAGGAGTAATCGAGTAAAGTACTGTAGTTGTTAAGCGCATCCACCAAGAGCGTGCCATCCTTCCTAGGATCCGCTGCCTGAGACCGGCCGGCTCCGATCCCAATGCAAGCGCACTGACATTCTGACAGACACACTGCGCTCCACTGAATCTGGTTCGTCAGTGTTTCATACTACTACATACAGGGTTGGATTTTGAACCGCTTGCCTGTTGCACCCGATCGAGGAATGATAGAATATGGCTCTCTCTCCCTCTACACTTCTGTTAACCAACTTCAGTCGATCCCTGATCGGATCTCATGTTTTCCAGCCCGTTTACCATCAAGGTGCATGGCACACTTGACACTCCTGACCATGAAGGTGCGGACTACTGCAAGTCTGCAACTGTCATCGTGGCTGATTAACCACAGTTCTTCTTCTTCTTCTTCTTCTTCTTCTTCTTCTTCTTCTTCTTCTTCTTCTTATCACGGCGGCACTTAACAAAGTGGAGAACATCAATCACCATGTTCCTGCGTGTGTGGAAGGTGAAGCCGCATGCAGAAACACATATTTTGACCACACTCGATTCGGCCGGTGAAAGCATCGATCGGCCATGTTTAATTTCCGGGCGTCACGTGATCCCGGCAAGACACACATGATTGCGAGCTTAAGAAATGCATTCCCTGCATGGAACCAACCACTACACGCTGCGATTGCCGCTCTTGGTCCAAGGCAGAAAAGGGTTTTGCGGTACAGTCAAAGGCGCGGCACGCACATGACAGCGATCACACACACCCCGGCCTGACTTCTCCCGGTGGGAGGCGGATTAGATAACTGGTTAGCACATGATCCAGCCGATCCCACCGGCTTGATCCATCCATTCATTAAGTAGATTAGCACACCCCTGTGTATCGGGTTGGGATCGCACAGTGTCAGCAGCACCCGTTCCGGGGGCCTGTTAGCGTTCTGAATGAATGTTTACGCTGTCAGATACTATCTGAACCGAGGATCCGACCCGCAGACCGCCGCTAGCTAGTTGGTCTCGTAGCCATTCGTATGCTAAGCGATCACACTGAGTAACCTGCCACCGGAAATAAAACCCACGCAAAGCCCACGTTAACTCCCACCACCACCTCTCCTCGATCCTTGCTCCCATCCGTATTCTCTACCCCTGCCACACCTCACCCACTACCTTTCCTTCCTTCCTTCCTCGTTGCACACTGCCCCAGAAGAACATACCACGGCACCAGAGCAGAGCAGAGGCCCGACCCCCAAGTAAGATGAGTTCTTCTTCCAGCAGGTTATGTCGTCCGGTGAGGCTACCACTTCTGCTGTTGCTGCTGCCGCTTCTGTTCCTGAGCTCATCGTCGTTGGCGCTGGCCGGCGTCGACGGGACTGGACAGTACCGGCCGGCCCGGCGGCTGCTGGTGACGCCGCCGTCGACGCACAAGTCGGAGCAGCGGATGCGGGTGGACGGCGCGAAGAAGCCCTTCAGGAACGCCGGCGCGATCCTGGGGCGCCGGAAGATACCGCGCTCCGTCTGGAATCCCATCCACAACAGATAAAAGGTACACACGCACTCTGATGTACCATGTGCCTGGCTGCTTGCTCGTCTCGTGGTGTGCTGTGGTCTGAGTAAGCTTGTTTCTCCTTGATTCCAGGCGTAGACGGACTAGATGGCCACAGAGCATCTAGGCAGTGAGGGCACACACAGGGATAGGAATTAAGAATGGAGGCACGTACATGGAGGGTCGAGCTTAGGATCGATCGTCGCATCTGTGTGTAAACCCTTTCAATTTTGTAGTTAGTTTTTATTTTTTTTCAGTTTATAGGCATTTTTTGTGTGTAAGTTTAGCTATATATAGCTAGTCGGTCAGATGGGAGTAACAGCTGGTTCTTCCCTTCATGTTGTCACTTGTTTCATAGCTGTTACGTTCCTTTGTTGGATTTAGCAGCTAATGTAATATAACTTGGTCTGTTGGTGGTACATAGAACAAACTAGTCTCTTCTTTTGATTTTCAATAATTCCGCACTGCGGCCTCTTAAGAGCTAACTGACCTTCGCAAAAGAATAGTCCCTCTGTAAAGAAATATAAGAGTGTTTAGATTATATTTAGATTAGTGATCTAAATGCTCTTATATTTCTTTACGGAGGGAGTAAGTTGGTTGAAATATATATATATATATATATATATATATATATATATATATATATATATATATATTGCAAAAAAAAAGAAGTAAAAATACACATAAAGAAAACTTAGTTGTGGGCCTGCTGATAGCAAAATATCTAGGTTGAAACGAAAGCTGCAATGTGCCTATTAAGCCCTCGTACGGGAGGGCTCATGCTCGACGCTCGTGAAATGGGCAACTTTTGCTAAAGGTGGTGCGCAAATGAACCGGCCCAATTCGCAGGCGCCGAGCGAAACGAAAAAAAAATAAAATTGCTCCCAACCTCGCGATGCTTACTAGCGACGCTAGCCAGCCGACCTAGGAACTAAGCACGGCTGAAATTCAACGCTATGCTTAAAGTAACAACTAAAAGTGGGAGATCCGGGGGTTTCAACCTTTTCAACATTTCTTGGAAACATGTGAACAATTTTTTTTAATGCAAACAATGTTTGGAAATCATAAAAAAATTAGAATATTCTTTTTGAAAACTTAAAAAAATGAAAATGTGATATTTTTCAAATGTGGATAATTTTAAAAAAGTGTAGTTAAAATACATACTTAACATTTTCTTAGTATACCATGAATTTTATTTAAATACACACTGAAGATTTTTACAAAAATATATGATGATTTTTTTTAAAATGCATGTTGAAGAAAATTTCTATACATGATGAACATTTTTTTATACACAGCGAACATTTTTTTCAATGTACGGTGAACATTTTCCTTCAATACTGTGAACAAAAATGGAATTCCGTACTTTTTCTTAAACACGAACAAAATTTGAAAACGTGAACAAAATTTTGATATCCAAAGGTTTTTGCAAAGTCAAACAATTTTGAAATTTCTGAACATTTTGGACATTTTGAACTTATTGAAAACAAAAAAGAAAAAGAAAAAATGTAGAGAAGAAGAGAAAAACAAGGATAAAAAATAAATGAAAAAAATAATGAAGAAAACTAACTACAAAGGCGCGACGCACGGGAAAAAAGATGTACCAGGATCGAAGCCTAGTCGCGCACGAACAAACGCAACTAACTAGCCACCGCGCCACGCCAGGAGATTATGATAATGGTTACGGCAAGACCCAATTGAAACACAACATGCCGGTTTTCTCCTCTCTTTTTCTGTTTTTTTTCTTCTCGGTTCTTTTTTCATTTTTTTTGCTTTTGTTTCTTCATTTTTTTTGTCTTCTCCGTTTTTCTTCATTTTTTCATTGTCCGAACGCTTATTCGACATTTTTCAAATACTTGTTCAACACTTTTCAAATACTCGTTCAACACTCTTTAAAACTTATTTAACATTTTTTTTCTTTTTGTTTGTTTCATTTGTTTTTTCTTCTCCACTTTTGCATTCTTTTTCTCAGATCGGATTTGTTTCATTCTTGTTCGTTTCCTTTTTCTCCTTTTTTTGGTTTTCTTTTTTCTTCTTAATTTTAAATTTTTCTTGTTGCTTTCTTATGTTTGTATTTGTTTTCACTCTACATTTTCGTACATGTCATTTTTTTTTGTAACAAGCGATCAACATTTTTTTTATACACATCCAACATTGTCCGAATGCTTTTTCAACATATTTCAAATACTTGTTCAACATTTTCATAGTTTTTCAGAAAAAAAAAACTGGAATACTTGTTCAATATTTTTAATACTTATTCAATATTTTAAAATACTCATGCGATATTTTTAATACATATTCAACATTTTTCAAATAATGTTTCAACATTTTTAATACTTATCAAAATTTTCAAAAAGTTGTTGATCATTTTTCAAATTATTGTTCAACATTTTGTAAATACTTGTGCAACATTTTCATATACTCATTCAACATTTTTTAATACCTATTCAAAAAAATTCAAATACTTGCTCAATATTTTTAATATTTATTCAATATTTTTTCAAATACTTGTTCAATATTTTTCAAATTCTTTTTCAATTTTTTTAATTCTTATTAAATTTTTTTGAAATGTGTTTTTAAAGATTTTTTTAGTAATATATAAATATATATATGTAGAATATTAAAGTATCAAGAAAAGTACAAAAATAACAAAAAATGAGAACAGAAAATAGAAAGAAAAAAAAGGATGTGGCTCCCGCGCGGCTGGGCCTGCTGTTTGCGGCCTAGTCGGGCGATTCCTTCAGCGAGGGAACGCTGGTGGCTCGCGTAACACGACAAATAGTCGTGCCCAAGGCGCGACGGTTTGACGCTCGCGCGTGTCAAATAGGAATTGCCCTCGTACGGCCCCAAAAAAGAGCTTCAAGTACATGGCCAATCGCTCATGTGGGTCCGCTCATGTAGCAACACACCATAGTGAGCAAGGGCCAGCTCTGGTTTCTTCATTTTTCACTCTAGTTTTTGGGTTTTAATTTAGTTTTTAGGGGAAAATTATTATTATTTTCATTCCTAAAAATGATCATTTTTTAGAAATGTAGAACCATTTTTGAAAAGTTGGGAATGTTTTTCGAAATTTGTGAACATATTTGTACATTTCAACAACATATTTTGAAATTGTAAGAAAACTCAACCCCAATATATTTTTTAAAATACTGAACAGTTCTGAATTTGTCAAACTTTTTTATTTTTATTTTAGAAAGGGGAGAGGGAATTAAAAAAAGTAAAAGTAAAAGTAAAAAATAAATGTTCCATAAACCAGGTAGCACAACCTACAAAATAGGTCGGCCGAGTACATTCGCTAGCTTGGTTAGGTCTGTGCGATACACAGATACCCAAAGAAGGCCCACATCTCTTCAACCGGCCCGATGCTAGCTTACTTTACATTGCTTCGCCATTTCTGATTGTTTCAAACCCTGTAGGGAACTGCATTTTTCTCTAAAAAAGGCAAACTATATTTTCCGATGATAGTAGAAATGGTTCTAACGCTGAAAAATGGTTCAACTTATAGCAAAAGAAAACAAAAAAAATACAGAAAGGAAGAAAATAAAGTAGAGCAATGTCGCTTGATTCCATCTAGGATCACCAAGTGTGTTGCGGTTAGGCTCCCACTCAATGCTCATCGCCCTTGCACGCTTGTAACCAGGTGCGCAAGAGATGCAATCAGAGAGCTAATTCGGGTGAGGATGGGGAAGAAATGTGAGTCGAGCATATAAAAAAGAATACTTCCGTTTATTGATGAGCTCGATATTAAAGTTGAGCAAGTTCCCCTGATGACAGACAAATGGGCTTCAAAGAGTGAGGCTGGCAAAACTAATTTCCTTATGCATGTGGAAGAAACTAAATGGTTCCAACATGCTAAAGTAAAACATATTCATGAAGTGGACAATAATACAAAATATTTCCACCTTTTGCCCAATGGGAAATATCGTAAGCACACAATCTTCTAACTCAAGAGGGATGATTGTAGAGAGCAGCGAAGTAGCGGACGAGCTCGCCTGCTCTCGCTAAGCCTACCAATGGAACTAGGACGCGTCGCACCCTGTATTGAATGCGATCTTTGAGGGCAGGGGGGTACGTAGCACAGAACAGTCACATACGTTGACTCCGCCGTTTGATACGATGATGATGCCGTGATGGAAAACCGTACACTATCCCTACGGTACAGGACGCGCGCGCCTGCCAGGAAGCCAGGCTGCGTCGCCCACGTAGAAGCAAAAGCGGGCGAAGTAGAAAGAGGAGTAGGTAGCAACTGGCGGCCTCGACGTGCTGGATCCCCGGCCGACAAAGGGTGAAGGAAATATGCCCTGGAGGCAATAATAAAGTTATTATTTATTTTCTCATAGCATGATAAATGTTTATTATTCATGCTAGAATTGTATTAACCGGAAACATGATACATGTGTGAATACATAGATAAACAAAGTGTCACTAGTATGCCTCTACTTGACTAGCTCGTTGAATCAATGATGGTTATGTTTCCTAACCATAGACATGAGTTGTCATTTGATTAACGGGATCACATCAATAGGAGAATGATGTGATTGACTTGTCCATTCCGTTAGCTTAGCACTTGATCGTTTAGTATATTGCTATTGCTTTCTTCATGACTTATACATGTTTCTATGACTATGAGATTATGCAACTCCCGTTTACCGGAGGAACACTTTGTGTGCCACCAAACGTCACAACGTAACTGGGTGATTATAAAGGTGCTCTACAGGTGTCTCCGAATGTACTTGTTGAGTTGGCGTATTTCAAGATTAGGATTTGTCACTCTGATTGTCGGAGAGGTATCTATGGGCCCACTCGGTAATGCACATCACTATAAGCCTTGCAAGCATTGTAACTAATGAGTTAGTTGCGGGATAATGTATTACAGAACGAGTAAAGAGACTTGCCGGTAACGAAGTTGAACTAGGTATTGAGATACCGATGATCGAATCTCGGGCAAGTAACATACCGATGACAAAGGGAACAACGTATGTTGTTATGCGGTTTGACCGATAAAGATCTGCGTAGAATATTTGGGAGCCAATATGAGCATTCAGGTTCCGCTATTAGTTATTGACCGGAGACATGTCTCGGTCATGTCTACATAGTTCTCAAACCCATAGGGTCCGCACGCTTAAAGTTCGCT